TCTCTCCCACGTGCTCCTATTATCCCGAGCTACTTAGATATTGGACTGGATAGGATCAGTAAAGTAGGCTTGGGCTGCCTTTTAGCTGATTTGGGCTTAGTTGATTGATTAGGTCTGACCTAGTCAGATTCAGGCTCGTCAAACTTAATTATTTTTGATTTAGAGTTTTTATGTGTGTATCTATATATATTTATATTTATAGACATTTGTAGCAAGAAGGAAAATCGAAACATTATAAATTCTTATGTTGATTATTTATATTGTACATATAAATTATTCTTATAGATATACTTAATAGATTTCTTTATCTAGTTTTTATTCATTTAAAGAGAAGTTAATATTGTTGCCTACACTATAGTAACACAAGTTGCTGAGATTATTTTAATCTAATAGAGGTTTTTTTTTTTATAGAAGTTAGAATAGATTTAAATAATACAAAAAGTGATATACTTATTTTACTTATCAATTCACTAGGCACGGGATAACGAAAAAATAAATTAAAACTCGAAGAATATTACACTGCCTAAAGACATTTTGCAACCTAAAACAAACCGTCAATTTGAAATAATTTTTACTTCATTTACTTTAATATAAGAAATTGAAATTAAACAAATCCATACTATTTTTCACAAATTTTGGCAAAATTTCCTCTAAAAAATAGGAGCTCAGAAAAATCTAAACATGTCTACAAAATTTACAATTATATATAACAATAATCAATACATACCCAACCACCATAACAAACATCATTTCATACCCAAAATAACATTTATAACATAATAACAAAAAGAGACAAAATAGAAAATCGTGACTTCTATGACAGTTTAAGCTCCAGTTCTGCTCCGATTCCATAACATTTTGCACAATATCAACACCCGCATGATAAAAACCATCACCTAAAACAGCTCCACATTAAGATTTGTCAAATGAAGAATTATCCATTTCCAATATTAAGTTATTTAAATACCAAAACTATGCAACACATAATATAATTTACTATAACTAAAATCAAATGTAAAGGTCGCAACAAAAAAATACAGATTCCGTATTCACATGTTAAGTCAAGTTTTCGACAATATGATTCAAGGTTTAATGCGATCAATACGAAGTATTTAAAATTCATAAAGTTCGATTACGGTTAGAAGATAATATTGGGTTTAAGGGAGATAAAAGTAATTCTACCAATAAAAAAAGTGAGGGTTCAAAGCAGGAGTCAAGCAAGAACTCTTTGACCCAACTCTGTACATAGTCACGTAACCCCAATTTTCGTCAATAACATATTAAAGATATTTGTAAACCACAACTTGAAAAGAGATTCACTTCTTATTATAGATAGCCTCTCAAGTGATCACACCAATAACCATCTAACCAAAATCAATCACAAATGCCCCTTCACAATAATGGTGCTTAATCATTTCTTGGAACCCTGATGATTTTACATTGAAAAAATGTACTTTGATCTATTACATCCAAAGCTTAGATAATTTGGAATGCAGCCAACGTGAAACTATAAATAGATAAGAGTTAGTAAATTGAAAGCACAAATAATTTACCATATATTTGCACCAATTGAATTCATAACAACGCTAAAAAACACAACAAACAATTTCCAAAGAAAAAAAAAAGTATTCACTCACGAATCTATATACGCAATTCACATCGAACTTTTCAACTTGAAGAAAGTTTAAAGCACAATTTAAAATGAGGACCAAATTCAACAAATTACACATTATCATCAAAGCACAGTTTTATAATGTGTCCTATATTCCCAAGAGAAAAAATTAAAGTCCATTTTCACCAATTCTCTCTCAATAACTAAACTATGACATGTGCTAATCAAGTAACCATTACTGTATCAAAAATAATTAGACACATTCAATCATAACCTAATCTTTTTTTTTTCTAAACGATAACTCAATCTTAGCTATTCCCCAGGACAATAATGCCTAAAATTCTAACTTACAACATAGTTAAATTAAAAAACATATAACAAACCAACCACAATAATAATCAATTGAGAGAGAGACAGAGAGAGAGAGAGAGAGAGATGAAACTGAAAATTGAGTAGAGATAAGAGAAGGGATATGAATAGGCTGGGCAAACCCATTTGTTGAATAACTACCATAAAAAATTAAATTTGGCAAATGTGTTATTCCAGTAATGTTACCTTTGGGGATAAGGAGAGGGTAGTTGCCCAAAAACCTTCTTTTTCATGTGCCTATTCAAATTTATCTTTTCAAAAAGAAAACAAAAAACATCATATTCAAATTTAAAATTTCCCTTAAAATAAGCTAATCTAAGGAGCAACGATATCAACATTTTAAGTACACACATCAAAATTTAGATAACATCATAAAATTCACCTCATATTCATATAAGATGTTACTACTTACAAAAAAAATAGCAGCAAATGTATACGCATGTATAACTTGTTGCAGAGTATAATCGATCAAACCCAAATCCAAAAAAACTTCAACAATTTCAAGGATCATTAGAAAAAGTTCAACCATAGAAAATATCCAAATAGTCAACTTGAAAGGCTTTGGCATCTATTGTGCAAGTTTAAGCTAGATGCAAGCAAGATAAAAGAAAGCAATTGAAATAGGCTTAATCATGTGAACTTATATGTCATGGATCACACCCATCATCATCATATCATCCTCAATGTAGACAACCTACCATTTCTATGTTGATCCACAAAGTTCGCCTTCAGGTCCCAACATGTCCTCTAATTTTCTTATCAGGCTCATATACACATCCAATTGTGTCAAATCCATTGTCCTTCCAATAGCAATCCCTTGTATGTTAACTTGAATAAAATTAGAACAATATTCCATCAAAATGTTTTCATTTGGACCAAAAATGCCAAATTCGTTTTTGATTTGAAGCCAAAATGAAAATATAATTTGGAACATTTAAATGACTTTAATTCAAATAAAGAGAACAACAATATTTCAAACAAATGAGAGAAAAAGATAACCAAATGAAGACATATTTTCGTTGAGGCAAAACAACAAAGCATCCAATTGAGAAAAAGAGAGATGATGAGAGAGAGAAGTAAGAAAAAGGGGAAAGAGAAAAAAGGGATCAAGGGGAATATATGGCATTTTGAGCTCTAGGAATTATCCAACATTACATTCTTGTCACATAGTACAGACGAAAATAGAAACATCAAATACTAAGTCTAGAGGCACAATCTGTTATGATTGATACCTTAGAGGTTTCATCACAACTCAATAATTTATAAGAAAACCACAAGAGAACCATTAAGAATTTCAAGTATTGTGCGATGGATTTGTTGGCCACTGTAAAATACGAAATTTATTTTTCTTTTTCTCATCCACCAAACAAAGAACAAAGAACAAAAAGAATAATTCAAAAAAAGACGTCAAACCTTGTCAAATAGAAATGTTCTATCGATATGCTTATTAGCTATATTCTGAATCGCATAAACTTCTCTTCTGTTCTCATTACATGAAACAACTACTGGTGTATGTAATCTCACTTCATCCTCATTCAATGGCCTACAAATTCAAACCATCGCAACTCAGACACAGTGATTAGAATCAATTAACTCACCAATTAGAACCAATCAACTCACTCACAAACCAAACTTATATTCTTAACTCAACTCACTTGCACCAGACAATGTCCTGGACATTCATGCCTTTATCTTTCTCTTGCTTCCCATTCATATTCCCCTCCCCTGATCGCAGATCTCTAACCGCCTTTTCGCTCGACCGTCGAATGACGATAACGAAACCATCCCTCGTCTTCTCTGTTGCTGTGACTGTGCAGACTCCATTTACATAAAATCCTTTTTCTTCAAATCTCAAACTTCATCTGGAAACAGTAGTCCAATTCGACGGTTGCTCACTGAGTCAACTCAAAATCTTAAAAATCGATATACCCCAAACTCTGCTAAAAACAATTAACAATGTACAATGTAGACAGAGAATGTAAATTTTTGAGGTGAATCCGAAAAGAACAGAGGCAATGAAACAAATCAGAACCGGATCGACAATAAGACAAAGAAATCGAAGTCAAAAGTAAATGTAAATCACAAGATGTACTTATTTATATGTATTCAATCTATACGTATAGCATACAGTGAATTCGATGGCCGGTCGGTGAGAACTTCAAATGCTAGCGACTATGACAATGGTGACAATTTGTGAGAAAGAGTGAGAGAATATAAAATGAGACTCTGACTTGACAGAGAAATGCAAAGATGATTTGTTGATTTTTTGGTTTAGAGAGAGAGCGAGAGAGAGACAGAGAGAGTGAGTGAGCTTGAGGGGGCAGGGGGTAATGCGATGGTGGAAGAAAGAGAAGGGGGGGAGAAGAGAAGCAGGGAGTCAAATAGAAGAGGAAGAGAAAGGAGAAAAAAGAGATGCCAGGGGTCGCTTGCGTCGGCGATGGGCAGTGGCATGGTGTGGCACGGGTGGTGGAGACCAAAGAGATAGAGGAAAAGAGACATTGGGGATAATGTGTCAGATAATTGAGTTGGATACTGTGCATAAGTTTTGGATGGGATAAATGGAGATGAAATCTGGGATGCATTGTGAGCCTTTGAATTAAATTGGAATAATGGAGATGAAATCTGGGTCATTAAATTAAAAGTAGATTAAATCTGAGCTCTTCTTATGCTTTTCTAACTTTAGAACTTTTTTTTTGTTTTTTTTTCAAATTTTAAAGATTGAAATGTGGTCCTATCTTATAATAATAGATATTAAAAAAGATCAATAAATTGGACTGCAACTCGCAAACTCGGCTCATAACCAGCGCTATCTACGTGGGCGTGTGGTTGTAATTTTACCCCAAGGTTAGTGGTCAGGCTAGGCTGGCTGTTAAACCGGCCCGACCATAATTGCGTCGCTTCCAACATCGTTCCATTCCGTCACTGACTAGCTGTCCTCGTATCCTATTAATAAATCAAACTCGTCAGTCGTCATCCTTAATATCAACCAATCTGTGATTTGCAACGTCTATCTGATTCCATGGCAGAGCCGAAGAAGATTATTATCGATACCGACCCTGGCATCGGTATTGTCTCTTTTCTCATTTCTTTTCTCTTTCTTTTATAAGACAAATTACATAGACACACGCAGTATTTGCCAATATTTCTGTATACTCAAGATCATATTATTTCTTCAAACTTCTGAGCTAATTATAGGCAAGATATCTGTAAATTTTACGCTGTACCATTTCTTGAATCCCAATTCCAACCGCATCCTCCGGTTGGTTGCAGAGAAACTGTAAGAAACACAGAGAAAAAAAATATTGTAAAGTATATGTCAGATTACTGGAATACAGGATCACTGAAAAAGACAATCCTTACAATTAAGCTTATACCAGTATTTCCTTTATCTAATTTAATCTTTTATGGAGACCAGTAGAATCAAAGACACAGTAATAATAGTACTACTCCTGTTTTTCTCTTTTCTTTTCACTTCATATTTTTTGAGACCCTCGGTAAGTTCAAAATACTTCGGTTTTCTCTATTCTTATGCATTTTATTCTGTTTGATGCTCTTAGATGATGCAATGGCTATACTTCTGGCGCTGCAATCACCGGAAGTGGAGGTGATTGGACTCACAACCATATATGGGAACGTTTACACCACTCTTGCTACCAGAAATGCTTTGCATTTGGTAAATACAATTGTTTTTGTTCTAAGGCTTACCTTTTACCTCATAAATATTAGTGATAACAATAAACATCTGTATAGAAGATTTCTTCTGTTATCTGGTTTCTTTCCTCCATATGTTATTTTCAACTCCACTCTACTCAAAAAATTTTATCCCAACCATATTTTGCTGGCTATATGAATCCAGTTTCTCAATTCTACTCAATCAAGGGCCATATTTCTTTTAAACTGTGAACCATTTTATTATTTTTTACTGTTTTGTTCAATATTTCAAGGTTTATTTCTGCATGCCCTAAATCCTTTTGCTTCTAAAGTTTGTCAGATGTAGGATGGGAAGGAGTAGAAATCACATAATAGAAAGAAAGAAGAAAGAAGAGGGGGGTGGAAGGGGTTTACCTCATCCTCGCAAGAATTGGTGAAGAAACACGTAAATTCTCCTAGAGAATCACTTTTTATTGTATCACTCTCTCTAATAAAAATAGTTAGGATTACACCATTATTTATAGACCAAGTTTCCTACTAAAATAAAAACTATTTTTCTACTAAAATTCTAAAAGAGTTTGATAGTCAAACTTTCAAATTCTTATCCTACTAAAACTCTATAATAATTTCTTAATCAAACTTTAATTACTATTCGTAGTCAAACAAATATTCTCCAACTAATATAATAATACTAAAATAAATAATAAAATTCAATTATTAAATTTATGCTCATTCAATCTCTTTTCGATCTTTATCAATTCTAACTGATATAGGACAGGATGGATTAGAAATCATAGAATAGAAAGAGAAGAAGAAAGAAGAGGGGGTAGAAGGTTTACCCCATCCTCGCAAGGAATCGGTGAACAAACACACAAATTTTCTACGAAAAATCTCTTTTTATTATGTCACTCTCTCTAATAAAAATAGTTGGGATTATACCATTATTTATTGGTCAAGTTCCCTACTAAAATAAAAACTATTTTCCTACTAAAATTCTAAAAAATTTTGATAATTAAACTCTCAAATCTCTATCCTACTAAAACTCTATAATAATATCCTAGTCAAACTCTAATTACTACTCGTAGTCAAACAAATATTTTCTAATTAATATAATAATACTAAAACAAATAATAAAACTCAATTCTTAAATTTAAGCTCATCCAATCCCTTTTTGATCTCTACCAATTCTCCCCGTTTGAAAAAACTCTTCTCCAAGGAGTTGGAAGATCACAAGGACTCCAAAAACTCTAAAGAAGCTTGTGTTCCAAGAAAATAACATTGTAGATCTCCGTAGTAGAAAATAATCCCTTCATGCATTGCATCCATCATAATCTTATCCACATACACTATTATAGGTAAAGGAAGCATATAAACCAGTGGAGACAAAATAGCAACTCCATCTGTAGTGGCACCCTTTGAAACTCCTTTAACTTCTTCCGTAAGAAGATTCTTTGAAATTGGCTTATCAAAAACAATTATCGTAGGATGGGTAGAACTTTTAGGCTCATCAATAATATCTAATTTTAGCTCATCATTCAATTGAACTGGAGCTTGTGGTGAAGTGACTTGTACAAATACCTGTGGAGGATTGAGGACTGAAGATGATGGACTATTATTGGCGTTTTTCTCAACTCTTTTACCCTTCTTATCTAAAAGATAAGCTTCCATGATCTCCTTTAGTGGGTGGTATAGACACCTCTAGTGAATCCATCCTCTCATTCATGATCTTTTGTGAATCAACTTGTACTTGGGATAAACTTGCATTTTATCACTTCATTCAGTGTTGGGAACTATCTTAATGGAAAAGGTTTTAAGGATTTTTCAAAATTCTAGGGTCAAATTGTAATTTCAGAAAGCTTTAGGGCCAAATTAAAATTTTAGAAACTTTTGGGGTGAAAGTGCAATTTCAGAAACTCAGGGGTTAAATTTGCAATTTCAATAATCTCAGGGTTACACGGTTGGATTTTTTTTGGCATGGGAGCCGGATGGGGTTTTAGGTCGGCAAGGAGCAGGATGGGTGTTTAGGCCTAGAACAAAGGGCGGAAACACAAGATGTCCGACAAATCTTGCAACCACAACAACAGTCAAGAATAATCGAAGTTGGGCTTTGATATCAAACTGAGGTAGGACGAGAAGGACTACAAATCATAGAATAGAAAGAGAAGAAGAAAGAAGAAGGGGTGGAAGGAGTTTACCTCATCCTTATAAGGAATCGGTGAAGAAACACATAAATTCTCCACGGAGAATCACTTTTTATATATCACTCTCTCTAATAAAAATAGTTGAGATTATTCTAATATTTATATGTCAAGTTCCCTACTAAAATAAATACTATCATTCTACTAAAATTCTAAAAGAGTTTAATAATCAAACTCTCAAATCCCTATCATATTAAAACTCTATAATAATTTCCTAATCAAACTCTAATTACTACTCCTAGTCAAACAAATATTCTTTAACTAATATAATAATACTAAAACAAATAATAAAATTTAATTTTTAAATTTAAGCTTATCCAATCTCTTTTCGATCTCTATCATTGTCTATAGACTTCTAGTATATTATTAGTTCCTACTTTAGTTTCATTAATCAATACTATATGTGCGCGATGATTTCTGCACAATAAATGAATGGATGAACCGATCTCTCACTTGGTGAATGGGAGTTTTACCTGGAGTCGATGGTCCCGTAGCAAATGGATGTGAGAGATGGTATAAGGAGTGGTGATGAATTACTTTTCAGCGGTTCGGACGATCCAGATTTATTGAGATGAACTCTGTCACTCAAAAAGAAAGGTTAGAAGGACATCGGAGTGATTTTCGGCGTGACCCTTCCAACGATCAAGCCAGTATGTGAGAGAGGGGTAGGAATTACTTGGGTGAGAATGTGCGTACCTTTGTTTGAGTTTGTGAGAGTTATTTATACCTCAATAGAATTAATCATTGCAGAAAGGTGGGTCCCTTGGGAGGGAGATCCCTTATTGGCCCATATGGAAGGTGACCTGTGGCGCACAGTCCTAGGGCAGAGTGTCTTCCTTGTTATGTGGAAAGAAGTTTCTGCATTTAATGCTCGGATCCACGTGCATTTAATGTTCTCCTTCTAAGGTTCGCCAAGCAATAAATGTGTCCCATTTTTATGAAGGGTCATTTAATGTTTCTTTGTGATGGCTGCGTACGTGTAGGGGCACTTTTGTCCATTGACTCCCAATTTTGTGTTGTGCACCTCGTGTATCACTATTGTTGGTCACTAAACTATCATTTTTGTCATTCTGACTGCCTTGTGACGGGGAATCAATGATTATTGAGCAATTCCGATTCCAAGTCATGATAAACATTAAAATCGCCATTCATACCTCACCTGCGTGGGGGACCAGGTGCCAAGGTAATGTGTCTAGTAGAGGACCCTCAGGGCATCACCCACACCGAGGACATCTGTCGATCGTTGGCTCTGAGGGTCCCTGACGCCGAGGACACACATCAATATAAAGGTACTTCGGGAGGGAACCATGCCGAGGACACGTGTCAGACGCAGAGAGCTTCGAGGGAGACATATGCCAATTCACAGTGGAACCCGAGGGAACTAATGCTGAGGATGCGTGTCAGTCCTTGGTGTGCCCACGTCAATCAAGCCGAGGATATGTATCGAGTCCCTATCAATCCTCAGAAATGTCCAATCACTATGTATCCATCAGGAATACATACAATGGAACTTCGTTTTGAATGTATCTAATCAAGTAATCCATGATCAGGGCAATGAGATACGACTTAAGGCAAACCCAGATGTAGGCCTATAGTGATTGGAAATTCATTACTTCGCCCAACAATTGTTCTCTCTAAAATCATTACACTATTGTATATATCTTTAATGATATCAACATATCAATTTGTAACCCTCTTCTTCTCTAAAATTCGACATATTAGGTTTGTAAGGATTCTAGTATATGCCTTCTCTAGGTCTCCATATGAAGATCTGTCTTTTTCTCTGTATACCTTTCCGTTCATCTCCTAAATAAGTACATAGCTTTCATTGCTGATCTCCCAAGTATAAATTCATATTGGATCTTAGATACGGTTGTTTTAAGCCTTAATCGTTGCTCGACAACTCACTTCAAGAGTTTCATTGTATGATTTACTAACTTAATACTTTGATAATTTGTGTAACTTTGAATATTGCCTTTAGTTTTATATATAGGTACTGAAATAGTTTTACTACACTCCTCCCATATCTTCTTAGTTCTTATAATCTTAATAAATCATTTATCTAGCCAAGACACCCCGATATCTTCTAACCACTTCCAACCTCAATCGGTGCACCAGTCGGCCCTAAATATTTTTTCGATTTTTGTTTTTTTAATGCACTTTTTACTTCAGACGTCTAATTCTACGAAAACCCCCTATTTTTGTTACTATCCTTATGGTTGTTTTATTGCTCACCACCTAAGTTTCCGATATAATTTTCATTTTATAATTTTTCTGAGTAATTTTTTTCATCTTTCCTTAATTTCCTTATTTTTTTTACCAAGACCCTTAAATCCTCGTTTTAATGCACTTAATATGGTTAATATTTCTATTTTTTCTTTCCCTTAATTTTGGAAATCTATAGATGCTTCTCTCTCCACCCTTTGTATCTAGCTTAAAAAAAATTATCTTATGTTTTATAGTTAGCTTCTTTTTTAAACTTTATTTGCAAGCTTATATTGTTTAAAATCTTTGATTTTAGTTTTTTTCCCTAGTTCTAGAACACGTTATTTTATTATTGTAGTTTGGAGATCATTATTCCTCACCATGTTTCCTTAGCTAAAGGTCCATTGTTTTTTTATTCTTCAATAAGTTCTCTTTACTAAAGAGTGATTAAATAGCTTTCAACTTGAATCACAAATCAAAATAAAAGTTTTAAACACCTAACAAGTCTCAAATAAAAATTACTCAATAATAAAAAGAATTGTGCAGCCCAATGTGTTACTTGTCAACACTTTTCCCTTTATCTTTTGTAGTGTTTCCTCCTGTTGCAAAGTTGAAAATTTGAGTTTGATGCAGCCCGCAATGACGGAGTGGTGGCCCACTAGAACTAGTAGGTGGCCGGTTAATAAAAATGGACATAGAAGCATGTAAGGATGAAACTTTCCAATCTTCCTCTCTAGCAATGGTAGAATTATTCGTATTGTCATCCTTTAAGTATTTTTAGTGTAAATGCTCCAATCTCACAATAAAATCATCTATATATGTGTGTTCTGAATTTATATCCCATTTCTTAAAAAGCCCATCTCTGTTTTCAGTTAAACGTGATTGGAGACAAATATTTGAATGAATGAAAACCAATTTGTCAGCCTAGTAGAATTCAATCTATTTTTCTTGACATTGTAAATAAATGAATATGTGCTCTAATTTCTTTCGGCTGAAGAACTTATAATTAGTTGGGATAACAACTTTTATGAACAAATAATAAAACACATTAATAATGATAATTAATAATAGAAATAAATAATAATAAACTTATATTAGTACTTTTTTCCCACATTCACTAATTCTGGAGTTTTGAATCATATGTTGACCACCAATCAATAACATCCATGGTCACAACATATGTTTGAGCAGCCGTCATACCATAAAGAAAGACCCTTTCGCGAGTGAAAAATGTGCATGCTGTTCTCGCAATTGTTTTGCTTCTTCTACATCTTTTGCTATCTTTAAAAATGCTTCCATAACACCTATGATCACTTCTCTATATTGATTTGGAGTCTTCCTAATTGTACCTCCTGGTGCTAATATTGGGTACTGTTAAGAGTATTAGGGTAGTATATGTAAATTGTTAATAGTATTAGGCGATTATATGTAAATATAAGAGGGTGTATGTATAATTCTTATTATTGTGAGTTAACTATAAATATAAGTGATATATGAGAGTTAGGTTAAGTTTTTAACCTCTTTCTTTTTCCCTAATATTGTTATGTTAATTCTCTTAATTTATCATGGTATCAGAGCAAAATCAATACAAATTTTAACTATTCTGGTTTGCGGTTGAGTGAATATTGTTGCTGTGATTACTGCCGGAGTTTGTGGTGGTGTTGTGCTATCCATCGTGGTCTTGTCCGGTGGTGGTGGTAGTCGACTGGTTATTCTTGGCGTTAGGTTGGTGATTGTTGGTTGTTGCTGTTGTGTGTTGGCCGTCGATGCTGTGTTGGTCGTGGATTGGTGTTTGTTGATTGTACATTGCCGTTAACATTGAAGTAGCATTAGGGTTTGTTCTTTGGTGAAGAAGACAACCGAGTCCAGATCCAGTAGCCTCCGACCAGACCGGTTCAGGCAGTTTTAGATCGGTTCAGTCAGTTTTAGACTGGTTCAGGTAGGATCCATCTGTTTTGTCTCTAGTTCAGCGGTTTAATGGACTTTTCTAGTACGGTTCAGCGGTCCAGTTGACTTCTCTGGCCCGGTTCAGCACTCCAGTTAGGTTCTCCAGCCTGGTTTGGTGATTCAGCAACCTTTTCTTCTTCGGTTCAGCAGTGCAGTAGGTAATTCTTGTCCTATTCAGTGATCTAGTGATTTCTTTTTTTTTCATTTGCTGCACTGCTATGGAACCCAAGCAAGGTGCTAATGGTAACTCCCCTGCCCCATCTTTGCCACCTCCCTCTTTTTCTCCGACTCTTATCAATGGTCTCATGACCTCTGTTAAACTCAATGGGACCAATTATACTTTATGGTCACGCTCTGCTCAAGTCTTTCTTCGAGACAAAGGTTTTAAGAAATATTTGGTTAACCTTAAACTCAAGGAAGATACTCCTAGGTATGATAAGTAGGAACAAGATGACGTTCAAATCATTTCTTTACTATTAAATAGCATTGAGCCTAGTATTAGTTCTACTTTGCTCTATCTTGACACTGCCAAGGAGATATAAGATCACTTGGCCACTATGTATTCTGGTACAAGTAATTTTACCCGAGCTATGAGGTGTGCAAGGAATACTTCCGACTGGAACAGAGTACTCTGAGCATTGAGGATTATTACTCTCACGTTCGGGGAGTCTGTGAGGAGATGAAGACCTACCATCCTTTTACAATTGATGCAGCAGTTTGACAGAAGCAACATGAGGACATGAATGTTATTAGGTTTTTGGTAGGATTAAAACCTGAGTAGGAGGCTATTTGTTCTCAAATTTTAGGTGGTTCTAGTCTTCCCTCACTACTTGAAGTTTTTTCTCGTGTACAGTGTGCTACTTTATCTACTTCAGACATCAATCATGGTGTCTCCACTGATCGCTCAGTTCTTGTGGTTTCTAGTAGCCACAGTGATGGTCATTGAGGTGGTTGTGGTAGTAGAGGAGGTCGTGTGGGAGGTCGTGGGGGTTGTAGTGGACCTTATTCTTGTACTCACTGTGGCCGTGGAGGGCACACTGTTGATTTCTATTGGGATTTACATGAAAAATCCTTTGGTGCTGCGAATCAGGCTTCTTATCAAGACGACACCTTTGTTGTTGCTTCTATATCTCAGTCAGCTCCACCAGACACTGGATTGGTTACGATTACACGAGAGGAGTATGTTCAGTTCCTGTCCTAGAAACAGGTTGTCCCATCTTCCTCCACTGCTACTTTTGCCCAGTCAGGTATTGCTTCCACTTGTTTATTGTCCTCCACTCGTAGTCCCTGGATTATAGACTCTGGTACTTGTGGTCACATGACTGGTGCGTCTATTGTTTTTTCTACTTATCAGTCTGCTACTTCCACACGTAGTGTTACTATTGCTAATGGTACTTGTTCTAAAGTTTCAGGTTTGGGGACTACTCACTTGAGTCTTGATATGTCCTTATCTTCTGTATTATTTGTTCCTCAGTTTCCTTTTAGTTTACTTTTCACTAGTAAGATTACCCATTCTCTGAATTGTTCTGTAACCTTTTATCCCTCTTATTGTGTCTTTTAGGATCTCAAGACAAAGAGGAAGATTGGTACGGGGCATGAAGCTGGTGGCCTATATTACTTTGATTTTGATTCACCTACTCGAGCTCTACAGACTTCGTTGTCTCCTTTTTCATGGTATTGTCGCCTTGGACATCCCTCTCTCCAGAATCTGAAGCGCTAAGTTCCCAGTCTTAGTTGTGTGTCGTCTTTGTCTTATGAAGATTGTCAACTTAGTAAGCATCACAGTATGTCATTTCAGTCTAGAGTCAATAATTGTGTGTCTAGTCTATTTGAGTTGGTACATTCTGATGTATGGGGTCCAATAAAGAATATTTCATCTAATAAATATCCTTATTTTGTGTCATTTGTGGATGACTATTCTCGTGTGACTTGGTTGTTTCTGATGAAAGCTCGGTCTGAATTATTCTCTATATTTGAGATCTTTTGTAAGGAAACAAAAATTCAATATGGGTGTCGTATACGTATTTTACGTTCTGATAATGCTCGGGAATATGAATCTGATCCTTTTTCAGCTTATCTTAGTAAAATTAACATTATTTATCAGACTTCTTGTGCTTACACATTTTCAGAGAACGGTGTTGCTAAACGCAAACATCGTCATTTGTTGAAAGTCACCCCGTGCCCTGTTATTCCAGATAAATATTCTTCGATATTTTTAGAGTAATGCTGTTCGTACTGCTTGTCACCTTATTAATCGTATGTCATCCTCTGTGTTAAATGGACAAAGTCTATATTCTGTCTTTTTTCCTGGTAAGCCTTTATTTTCCCTAATTCTTAAGGTTTTTGGATGTCTGTTATGTTTACAATTTGGGTCCTGGG